TGGTTGTCATTAGGAAAGAATCTATGCTTTCACGTTTTAGAATCTTGCGGTGGACGCAGTGGAATGTTCGTGGATCGGTCTCATCTTGATCTCCTGTCAGGATAAATGAGACATGGGCCGTCGTTCCTAAAATCAACAAACAAAAAACAAATATCAGCACTGTAACCGGGGTGACGTTTTTTCTTGTTTCCTTCTCTTTATTTACGTATTTATTATTATTATTATTATTATTATTATTATTATTATTATTACTTTCTTTTGGAGGGGGGGGGGAGATTCAGATTCAAAGCTTTTTGATTGCCAGAAACAGCATCATCAATTGAAAATTGGGATTTAACAGAAGTCACCATGACAACCTTCTTCAAATTACGAAGCCAAATGGAAAAGTCGCCCTACCTCTATCTCAATTACTGAGTACGAAATAAAGAGAAATTACAAAAAGAAAAAAAAAAACAAAATAAAAAGACCACAGCACGCACCTGCTCCTCTCCTGTGTCCTGTCCATACCGTCACCTCGTAGCCATATGTGTGATGAGGCTCGTTATCTGGGAGAGGTAACACACCAGTCTAGGGGGGGGGGGGAGAAACCATTACACATTAACTTCAAGTAAAATAATGGATACTTTTTTAACAAAACAAACAACATAGAATTTTGGAGATCATGATAAAGCCAATATACTTTTTAATGTTTTTTTAAATTTTTCAATTTGCAACGCATTTATTTACCGTTGAAAAATTTGACACTCGTGTTAAGTTATCATAGTATTACACTACAGATTAAACATTTTCCATTTCAGTAGTACTTATAAGTTTCACAATGTACGCTCACCGAGATCATTCGTTACTGTGATGGCTACAGTAGTAGAGCTGAATGTTACATGTATGGACTTAGCCAAAAATTATTTTTTCATTTTTATTAATACTTTAATAAAATCTCACTCAAAATTCTGTGGACTGAATTTCTGTTGTTACCTTCAGAACATCCATCTTGTCCGCCTTCCTTGCCCATATCACAAGAACAATATACACAGCCACAGCCGAAATACAGAACGTGAATACGAGGGGATTGTCATTCAAATAATTGATATTTGAGAAGACAGATTTTGCAGGATCAAAGGTGTTCATTGGAACGAAAAAGGTAGCGGCAAATGATGTCAGATGGTTGCAGAAACACTGCGTCGCTTGAATGGACGACAGCTGGCCTACCTGTAAGTATGAGATGTTCACTTTTGTATTTGACCTCAACACGCTTTAGGTTATAATGAAAGGTGTTATAAAAGGACGATACTAGTATTGAAGTGATATATAGGGACCATTATTCAGGAACTGTCTATCAATAAATTTACACCGGAGAAAATGACAACCCAGACGCGTCTTGCCGCGCTATTTCTTAGTCGAGCCGGGGGGAGAGGTGTATAAGGGGAGGCTTAGTCTAACTCCTGATCACTTTTTAAAATCATGCAAGTTGATAATGAAAAATAAAATCTAGTACCGGATCTTACACTGAAACGGAGATCTAGCACTAGACTTAATTTCCCATTAAATATATAAAATTTGATGTCGACGTACCCTACATCCGGACGCGGACCACTTGTCCGCTTCGGGGTCAAAGTACACACACGTAGTTGTGAAAACTTCCATTGTATAGTGGGCTGACACACTGGTGTTGAACAGATCGCTGGAGTTCAACAGATCGAGGACTTCCTCTGATGCAATATCTTCATCACAAAAGTACATTTTCAGTGGTTTAACATTAAAATATACAATCCAATCAAATATGCTAACAATTTTGTATATTTTAATATTAAAAAAATATTGCATATTCAAGTATTTCTACATGTTTTAATTGTTAAAAATGCATCACCTATGGAATGAACGGATCAATAAATGTGTATTAATAAGCATCACAGAAGTCGGAATTTCATGCCTTGGTGGACAGAGCACAGTTCCGAGCGAACTACAGAGAACAGGGCACAGTGCCGCGAAAGAGGATCCGAGGCGAATCTAAGCTCGTTCTCCCGAAGTTTACTCGGGACTGTGCTTTACTGGTATAATATAATATAATATAATATAATATAATATAATATATACCTGCAGATGTACCGTTTCCTGTTTCATTGCTGCCATAGGATCGTAGGGATACATATAAACTTTCAGTTGACGATCTAGAAAATACAAATTCTTCCATTTTTATATGGACATAGATGTTTTGCACTATATCAATCATTAGTAATTTTAATTTTAAATTTTAATTTAGTTTAAAACTAGTTTCGGCATTTTTTTTTTTTTTTTATTGACATCACAAAACAAAACATACATTTTTCACACTAAACACATATTACAACATATATGCAACAGACACAAACTAGCATACATTGGACATTAACAGCACAAGGGAGTGACAGAATATGTTGCACAAAATAACAGAGGTAATAGTATACAATACACATAACACAAACTGATTAACATATATCGTAACATATAAACAAACAAACCAGCTTATTATCATATATAAGTCACACCGGATTCTACATATTACAAACGTTCTATTTATACCACAGTCACAATATATGTTATTATGCCGGTTGTCGGGAATAACACAAAGCATTTTTTTTACTAGAATGCAAAATGGTTAAATACTAAAATAAATTGCGTCTATAATAGTGTAGTTCCGGTACTAATACAATGTATATTATTTTTATTCAATATTGTCAAATATTTTTAGCATATTTGTTTGTGCCGTGCTTCTAAATAATGTTAGTCACAGTGACTACAATGCTAGTGCAAGGTATATAGTTAGGACATAGCAAGGGGAATAATAAAAGCCTAATACTTGTAGCATGCATATACTTTTTTGGTATTTAAAAATGTTAAACAAGGACATGTTTTTAATTTAAGTAAACCGACGTGTTTTTTTTAAATAAAGCATTAACTAATGAAAAATTCTGTAGAAGGTTTAAAATAAAGTATCGTATCATTTACTTTCTTACAAAAGTGATAAACCGACGGGTTCATACAGGAATAACTTTACAGGGATAAGAATTGTTTGTATGAGATACAAAAAAAAAAATAAAATAAAAATAAATAAATAAATAAAAATAAAAAAAATAAAAATAAAAAACGGAAAGGAACGTTTACTCACATATTCAGTGTATGGTGATCAAAGAAGCAAGTGTCCAAACTCAACTTATCCTTTTGGCCACATTCGTCTGTAATATCATCAAGCATCAGTGACGTCACCACCGTGCAATTCCAATCATGTGATTCTTCGGTTGGTTTACTACCTTTCTTGACGTACAGAATAAATTTAAGTGGCTCCATAGGATCCTCACTAGTAGCATTGGTCGAATTTCCTGATATGTTGCCATTTTCAGCTCTTCTTATCTTTAGGAACACGGCAGCATACTGCGGAATTGGAATTATGTGCACTCCCATTGGGTCGTCCAACCTGCTGGTGTTACCGTGAACTTCATTAACAGAAGCATTGTCCCCCTTTTGCTTGATCCAAACCTCGATTTCTTCCGGTCTGTCACTCACAACGACGCGGATCCCATCTTCGTCCTTAAAATCTAGTGCTAAAACATTGCTTTTGATTCCGTCCGACCCCTCTGCCCAATTTCTGGTATTGTGCTCTTGGAACAGAGCCTAGTACGGTAAAAATATAATATCATTACGTATCAGTACACACAGGTACGTGGAAAAGCGTTCTTACCACAAATTACTTAAATCATTCATTAATTATATTAATTTTGGGATTAGTAGATTTAAAATGCCACCCACCTTATACGACTATTAGAGCTTGCCCTTTCCTCTACAAAAACGCCTAATATACCAAAAAGCCAATTTATTTATTTATTTAACTTGATCTACTTAACTACCACATCAGGGTATTTCGAAATCAAAAAGTTACTGGTTATCTTAAAGTTCACACATTACCACATGCATTTGTGTGCATTTTTTCTTACCTTTCCTTGAACGAAGTACGGTGTACTGTTTCCGTTCTTAAATATTCCTTCCATGGATCCGATTTTAAATGAGCCGCAGCCCCCAGTTCGGAAAGTAGCTAAAATTTATGTATGTATAATGTTTGGGTATTTTCTCTCCTTAATATATAGTAGGCCTATTGCGTTTGAAAATCAGTAAGGGCATTAGTTTAAGTGAGTAAACTGCATGCTGAAAAAACCAGAAGTCATTTGCAGATGAAAGTTGCAAGTTCGAATCCGTTAATATATGCACGTACACACACGTACACATGCAACCATGCACGCACGCACGGAAGCACACACGTTCTTACCATTGTCTAATCCTGTGGTGAAACTTTTGTAAAGGGTAACGGAGAGTTTAGGAGTAGTAAAATTGGACGCTGTTTCACCAGATACCTTTTTCTTAAGTATAGCATCGGATAATTTATCCAAATTTTGCTCGAGCTGCTCTGAGAAATATTTGGCCTAGAAAAAAAGAATTGTTTAAATTTTAACCTGAGAACCTTTTGCTCCTTCAAAATAAACAGTTTTTGCGAAAACTGACATAAATTGAACATCCATTTGTTGTTTTTATCCTCAAAGTCCTGTTGTAAAACTTTTTTGTCATTTATTTTGACAACTGTCCTAAATATTTAGTCCAAACTCAGTTTTTTTACCCAAAATGAATCACTATTGTTCATATGATTATAACTAAATAATAAGGTTATTTCAAACACGAAAAGACGTGACTTGTGTTTGAAATAAATGCATTTACTTTATTTAGGAGAACTACAATAGGTTTATCTTAATTAAACTAAATGTTCCCTTTTTTCTTTTTTTTTCTTTCTTACGACCCCTGGGTGTGAGCCATTACCAATCAATTATTGCATTGCATGCATGAAATTTTTAAGAGAGAAAAAGGCCTACCCTGTTATTTGAACTGCTGTCATCAGATTGACCACTGTTAGCTGGGGTCGTGGCGTGTTCATTTGTACCCTCTATGCCACTGGTTGCATCAAAAAGATTACCTGTGAATATTTAAAAATTTAGAAATGCCTTAGTTTTAAAGATAAAATGTCACTGCAACATGTATTATGTTTTGGGAACAAAACCAGTGACAAATATCTTTATTGACTTCTATTCAATATTTTATTTTATATTAAAGGCACTACGATATTTCTTAATAAATATATTTTAATAAGCGAACATACCAATGGTTGAGAACATTTCATATGCGCATAAGTCGAGCGAGTCCCCATCAACATCCTTGTCACCAGCTTGGTCGCTGACAATATCAACAACTTTGGACAAAGCTTGATTAGAATCTTCCTGAATTTTGTCAGAACAATCTTCTCTTTTGTTTGTCACCTTTCCAAGTGCCTGAGAAAACTGCCTGGCGCTTTGAACGTTAGGTGCAGGGTCAATACTGGTCAGTCCCTCGATTATGTCTTCCTTAAGCTGAAAGACATACGTGTAGTCTGGGTATTAATGTCCAAATTTCAGGAAAAGCAATAGAATTGACAGTGGGTTACGGTATAATGAAAGCTGTAAACGCCGCGTTTGCCTAGTTTATATTAAAAGATTCATCTCCGAGAATACAAAAAAAAATCAACATTATAATTAAAATAAAACAGTGTACGTTTATTGCTTGCATTCTTACCTTTCGGGACTGGGAAGGACTCCCACTACTGTCACCACCGCCAGATTCATCTATAAATGCAAAAAAATATATAAGCAAAATAATTATGACTATTGAGAGAGAGAGAGAGGGAGAGGGAGAGAGAGAGAGAGGGATCACCGACCTTCATTCTTGTCCAATATGGAAGTTGCCGCAAAACTGATTTGAATCATGGCCTGAATGTCTTTGGCCTTTTTGCTCTGTGCAATGATTCCTTCTTCCCCCGAAAGAAAGTTATCAAATTCTGTTGGTTCCATATCTGGTAGCTCAACCTTGGGGTAAATCCATATTATATGGTTAGTCATTGGCACGACACACTAGCTATACACAGTATTCACTGTAAATGTATAGCGACATATGAGTAGCAGATGCTGGACATTATAATTTTATCCACTGGCTGGGCCGCGCATAAACACAAAGACGTTACATTATGTCATAACGATAGAAATATTATACAAATACATTAACAGTATATATATATATGAAGGTAAATGAAAAAGTGGTTCTACCCACCTTGACCTGGAAGTCTACGTCTATGTGGGTTTGTATGTGATCTTTGACACGGACCACAATGCTTGTTTTAAAGTCGTCCTCTTGTCTGCCTGGAGACAACCATACACCTTTATTGGTACTTGGTAATACATCTAAAAAAAAACGCACAGAAGAATAAAAGAAAAATCACTGCCTTGGTGACTAAAAAAAGGGTCCCAAACTCCAACAAACTTGAATTTCTGCTAAATATGATTTATAACGCTCAACGTTGCTTCCAAAGGGAAGGGTGGACATGTGTTTAAAAATTAAATGGACCCACGCATAAAAAGCGCTGAAGACATCAGAAGTAACTTCTGCTCTTACAGGAATTCTAGACAGACTGAAAGAGAATCTCTTTCGTTTTGTAAACTTACGAGGGAAGTCATATCAAACTATTTATTGGGCATAGTATACCAAGTCATGATATTGCCGTAAGTCTCAAGAAAAAGGGTATCTAGCAGCAGAAAAATAACAGTGGCGGCTGTGGTGGTGGTGTGTGTGAGTGTGTGTGTGTGTGAGTGTGTGTGTGTGTGTGTGTGTGTGTGTGTTAAGCTTATGAGGGTTTCGACCAATAAGGCAGGAAATGTCACTTGGTTATACTGTGTGTGTGGGTGGGTGGGTGGGGTGGGGGGGGGGGGGCGGGTACGGACTCCAGCAGAAGACCACTGGTTATGAACTAATAGCAGTACGTACTTTGATCGAACCATACCACACCGCTGCTAAGACGTTGTCCAAACTCATAGCTCAAAGGTGCGTCCTTGTCGCTAAATCCTTGACACTTAATTGAGAACTTGGTCTGCAAGGAGGTCCCATTGTTTGGAGACACGGTGCAGTTCCCTGCGACAGGCGGTTCGTTGATTAATATTACATACGTTGCCATTCCTAAAGGGAATCAAAAAGAAGAATATATATTATGTGGAATTACACCAGTAACAACATGCCAACTCTGACCCATTACTTTGGTATACGACAGAACGTATAGCGGCCGTGTGCGCAAACATTTACGATAAAACCCAATATTGGGGCATTCTAATCTCGATTCCCGTTGAAATTTGTAGTCCCTACAGGACTGAGTAATAATGTTAAAATCTGGGGATCCTATTAAAATACAGAGTTTGTCTAATGTTAGCTTTCCTTTCGGAATCAATATGTATTACTGTAAATACAAAGTAAGGCGTCGAATAAGTAACATGCACAGTGGAAGGAAATGTTACCAAAATTGGCTGGTCCGCTGCTACGACGGTACGCTTTCAAAGATATTATAAAGTACTCCTGGTAACGTCCCTCGAAAGTGTCTTTGTTTATAGCCAGGTTTGCGGAATCCAGCCCAGTAGCCGTTTTACTCCGCCACTCCCCTCTGTCCCACGAATTATGAAGATTTTCAACCAGGGACTGGTTCGAAAGCTTATCGTGCATGTTCCATCTGAGAAATAAGAAGTATTTCCTTGAATCTTGTAAGCTGCGTAACTTGGCGATTAACTGTATTAACATAACAGTCATATCAATTATTTTTGATAAGAGAGTAGAAGCGGATCCAAGGGCACAAGAAAAGGGTTTTCTATTGTGATTGCATGGGTGCATGCTCAGGCGCGCGCGCCCGCGCGTGTTTGTGACTGTGTGTCGTTTGAGCACATACAATCTTTGGGTGTGTAAATAGCCGCACGCTCCCCTCATTCATGGTATTTCTTTCATCTTACGCAAAAGAAGTAAAAATAAAAAAAATACATAACAGCAGACTGTATGTTTTCAACTCTTTTACTGATTTTAAAGTTCAATTCAAAAGATAATACATGTACTACTTACTCGTAGTTGTACAACACTCCTTTCACGAAGCCAGCAATGACTGACCGAAGCGAAAACTTGCTGAATGGGTTCACTTTTTCCATGCAGTTAGTAGCACATCTATTTAAGAAAAAATATCATTTTATGCTTTTTTGCAGACAGTGACCAGTTTGTAGGTCAAATAAATGTATGTTGGTTTTAGAGTTCAATACAATTTTGAATACAGCATGTACAGTTTCAGATGCAGAATATAAAAAGGAAAGATGGGTACATTTGATATGACTTATTGATGGATATTATTTGTCATTGAGAACAACGTAACCTAATACTAGTACTAGGGCTAATGAATGCAATCAAATTTTCGCAATGGCCCTTTTTTCTTCTAGTGCAATGCTACTTAGTTGTCATCAGCGGTAACAACTTGAGAGTTAAGCATATGCATGGATTTTACAATAAGGAGTTAATTGATATACATACTCTATTGTTGTCTCTGGTGGATCACCCTGCGTCAGAAACACGTCCATTGTGATATTTGGACTGTTTCTCGTGAAACCGGTCAAAGGGTCAACCTTTTTTACCACGGCCCAGAAACTGTGGGTTCCATTCTCTTGGTACAGTAACACGCTCACTATTGTCATAGTGAAGTTCACGACGTTGTAGTTAATAACATCTCCATCACGACCCTCCTTTGGAACCCATGGTGTTGGAAGCTTGCCTTTATTAAAATGTGATATCATAATTCCGGTTTTTTGATTGCCCCGTTCCTATCTTTAAAGCACCTAGCTATTATACTTAATGATCATGTGATGACATTCCAATGTAAAATACAGTGTTATCTTTTTCATTTTATCGTGATGAATAGTTGAAGTACAACATAAAATGTATTAAGAGAAAAAAAAAACATGTTGCGTAACGCATTTAAAACGTCATTTTGAAAATAAGATATACATGTATATTAGGCGTACCTGGATTGTCACCCTGCTTCCCTTCTTGAAAACATCCGCATTTGCCAGGTGAATCTCTGCAAGGTACCTCACAGAACCAGTCGATGGAGACCAGAGAATTGTCCTCGGCAGATATCGGATTGTCAGGATCTCGGAGATATTGGAGAGGGTTCATTGTATAGTTCGCGCCGTACTCTAGACGGGTATACGAACCGCCGCCTATCACACTCATCGGCGTTGCATTTAAAGCCACCAAAACGCTGTCCATTTGCCAAAGATTGATTTCATTAACCATTGAGACGTTTAGAGTGAAATTATAGATGCCATACAAAAGTACGTTTTTGGGTATCTCCAACCTGTTTAAGTAAGTGCTGTTGAATGCAATGCTGAGGTTGCTGAACAAACGAGACATATCTTGCCATTGCTCAATACTTGTGTTATACCAATTCACGCCCCAAATGTAGTTTGCTGTGGGTGAGCTGGTGCAGTTCAATCGGACGGAGGACGAAATGATGACTGGGTTTGAACGGTAGAAGACCTTCCGCTTTTGGCCGTCACAAAGATCAAGACATTGGTTAGGCTCCTTTATATCAACTTTGGGAATGGCGCAGGGTCCTTTAGTGACGATAAACATGGTAGATGTAGACTTCGTAGACACCATATTAGAAACAGTAGCATTTACAGTGAATTTTCCAACGGAGCGGAAGCTATTGGTAAACCCATTACTGACGTCTCCAGAGTACGGGTAATCACCACACGCCCGTGAACAATGATCTACGTTTCCAAAACATCTCTTTTGCCACTGCAGTCGAGGGACATCAAAGAAGACACAATAGGAGGCGTTAGTTGGCATCGTGTCTGTCCAAATGAAAAACTTATAGCTTTCGTTGGTTGCGTGGGGTCCTGTTTCATTTAGTTCTACCATATTAACTGCTCTCTGAATGACAATGTGCTTGGTAATGACTTCAGAATCCATGGGGTTTGACGCATTTAGTGTGACAGCGTACTCCTTTGGTTCAGAGTAAACATGAATCACCTCATTAACAGTGGTACTATGCACAGACCCATCGTCAAAGTCCCAAAAATATGTCAAGTCGGTTCCTGAGGTCTGGTTGGATACAAAGGTGATCGGTTCATGGGATGGAAAGTAAATGTGACTGTCACCATGCCCGCCAGAGGAATCGTTTCCGTAGAACAGGACCTTGTGCAGTCCACTGATTTTGTCAAATACGCTGTGGTTAAAGTGGGCGGTGACGTTACTGACGAGATTCCATGCGAACACGGTAACTGTGAAATCACCAGGCTGGGTAAAGATGTGAGAAACTTCAAGACACTTATCTGCCGAGGAAAAGTTGCACAGCAGCCCAGTCGCAGGTTGAGATGGGGTGCCATCTCCAAATTCCACCACAAAAATGGCATCTGTAGGGAGCGGCGCTTCGACTTGAAGCGCGAACGTTGCATTGACCTTCCCTTCTGGAATTGGGCGGAGGGAAAACTTGCGTCCTGATATTGATAGATTCTGAATCGGATGCTGCACGATGATTGAGTCAAACACGGTCATCTGGTTGACTTGATTGGAAGCAGTCAATGAAATATTATACACCCCGGGCATTCTAAACCTGTGAAAAATTGAACTTGAGGCAGTAGAATTGGTGGTATACATTCCTTCTGGAATACCATTTTCTAGGTTCCAGTTGTACACATGGTCTGAGCCCCAGTCTATTGTGCCGTTCAGAGACACCAGCTTGTTCACTCTGGCATGGCGCGAATTCACACCTATGCTCAGCCCGATTATATATTCTTCTATGACCACTTCTGTCAACAAAAACATGTTGTTGATGTCGTTGGACACATTGAACGTGGTTATGTATGTCCCCTTGCTGCTGTAGTTGTGACTGTAAAGCCAGGCATTAGTACTATTCATTACGGAGACGAGGAAGGTATTGTCGACAAAGGAGGTAAGAGTCTCTGTGGCCGTTTTATTGTCACCGAAGTCGAATTCTGCGCTGGCGTTAGTTGGTAAAAGCATGTCATCAACGTTACAGGCAACAGAAAACGTAACTGTGGCGTCAGCGTTTGGATATATTGGATGGATATTTTGAAGAGCCGAGAATTCCATATTTGACACCGGCCGTTGCACCTTAAATGACACGTTTCTGAGAACTTCTGAAACTGGGTTTGAGACATGCACGGGTATAGTTATTATGCCAACGTCACTGAGATTAAAAATATACGTAATGGTATCATTTGCTGTGAGCATTTCAAAATATTCCATGTAACTCTGTAACGCCACACCAGTTTGTATCTGTAACCTCGATCCCTGACCAACTGAGACAGTGACATTCACTTCAGAACCTGTAGCAACCGAGTATTCTGTCGTCTGCACGGTAAGGTTTTCTATACGATAATCCACCCATAACTCAGTCAGATTTTCAACCGGGTCGCTTACGAAATTATCCATCACCATCAGCAGTTGATAATGACCAATGGTCTTGTAATCGTCTGCTTTAAGGAGCAATGTACCCTCTTGCGACGTGTCGTTATAGAAACCAGCCGTCAGGACAGTTTCGTTTAGCGTACCCTTAATAACGACATTGTTGCCACTGTCAGCCCGGACTCGGATGGTGGCGTTCTCTCCGAATGTCACAGGCCCTACTTCTAACCACTCAAAACTCGTTATCTTGCTTTCAACCGGCACATAGGCGTCCGCAGAAACTGACTGGTTTTCAGTTAGAACATTGGAACAGTTCATTTGCACGTTATAAACTCCCAGTGCCGGAAACGTGTAGTTCAGTTGGTATCGCATTGTGATGGCTGAAATAACGAGTTTCTTAATTGCAAAATAATACCACTTGCACAACAAGTCTATCAAGCCGTCCTCCGCACACAATCACGTTTTGTAACGTACATTAGCTGGCTTATTAAGAGGGTAAACGCTACATTTTGTAGAACAGGGCCCCGTAACTCGAAAGCATCGCGCATTGTGACCGAGCGCAAGCGTCACGATTCCATACCTTGCCCATTCTCGCCCCATATAATACATTGTAGCCTCTATGTGATATCGCTCTTCGCAATAGGCGATGCTTTCGAGTTACGGGACTCAGGTGTATAACCTGGAAGGGATGTTGCTTGACGGCTGTTTCACAATCAGGGTGAACAATTAAATGTGGTTAATGTTACAAGTGTCTGCTAAATTTACAATTTATGATTTGAGATTGCTGATAGACTGCATGATGTCAAAGACACTGTTCACAGGAGCAAAATAAAAAAAGAATTATAATAATCGGACTACAATTTACAAAAATATGGCCAATTATGTGTCCAAAAAGTACCTATTTCTAGCTGTTCGATGGGTCATTTGCAACTTAGGTCATAAGTAGGACGCACTAGCTCTTTATGTCAATGATTTATGGTGAATATGATATTGGTATATAATTCCCACAACATATGTCTTCTCTTCTAGCAGGTTCTTCCAAAGGTATGTTCTGAGTAAAACTTTATTTTAACCATTTTGCTGAAAAAGGCTTTTGTACACATTTTACTTATTTTTGTTAATGCAATGAAAAACATATTTGATAAGGCCATATATTACTTTGAAATCACCTACATGATAATAAGATGAATTTACCATGNAGGTGCACAGCAGCTCAGTCGCAGGTTTACGTGGGGTGTCATCTCCAAATTCCACTTCAAAAATGGCATCTGTAGGGAGCGGTGCTTCGACTTGAAGCGCGAACGTTGCATTGACCTTCCCTTCTGGAATTGGGCGGAGGGAAAACTTGCGTCCTGATATTGATAGATTCTGAATCGGATGCTGCACGATGATTGAGTCAAACACGGTCATCTGGTTGACTTGATTGGAAGCAGTCAATGAAATATTATACACCCCGGGCATTCTAAACCTGTGAAAAATTGAACTTGAGGCAGTAGAATTGGTGGTATACATTCCTTCTGGAATACCATTTTCTAGGTTCCAGTTGTACACATGGTCTGAGCCCCAGTCTATTGTGCCGTTCAGAGACACCAGCTCGTTCACTCTGGCATGGCGCGAATTCACACCTATGCTCAGCCCGATTATATATTCTTCTATGACCACTTCTGTCAACAAAAACATGTTGTTGATGTCGTTGGACACATTGAGCGTGGTTATGTATGTCCCCTTGGTGCTGTAGTTGTGACTGTAAAGCCAGGCGTTAGTACTATTCATTACGGAGACGAGGAAGGTATTGTCGACAAAGGAGGTAAGAGTCTCTGTGGCCGTTTTATTGTCACCGAAGTCGAATTCTGCGCTGGCGTTAGTTGGTAAAAGCACGTCATCAACGTTACAGGCAACAGAAAACGTAATTGTGGCGTCAGCGTTTGGATATATTGGATGGATATTTTGAAGAGCCGAGAATTCCATATTTGACACCGGCCTTTGCACCTTAAATGACACGTTTCTGAGAGCTTCTGAAACTGGGTTTGAGACATGCACGGGTATAGTTATTATGCCAACGTCACTGAGATTAAAAATATACGTAATGGTATCATTTGCTGTGAGCATTTCAAAATATTCCATGTAACTCTGTAACGCCACACCAGTTTGTATCTGTAACCTCGATCCCTGACCAACTGAGACAGTGACATTCACTTCAGAACCTGTAGCAACCGAGTATTCTGTCGTCTGCACGGTAAGGTTTTCTATACGATAATCCACCCATAACTCAGTCAGATTTTCAACCGGGTCGCTTACGAAATTATCCATCACCACCAGCAGTTGATAATGACCAATGGTCTTGTAATCGTCTGCTTTAAGGAGCAATGTACCCTCTTGCGACGTGTCGTTATAGAAACCAGCCGTCAGGACAGTTTCGTTTAGCGTACCCTTAATAACGACATTGTTGCCACTGTCAGCCCGGACTCGGATGGTGGCGTTCTCTCCGAATGTCACAGGCCCTACTTCTAACCACTCAAAACTCGTTATCTTGCTTTCGACCGGCACAAAGACGTCCGCAGAAACTGACTGGTTTTCAGTTAGTACATTGGAACAGTTCATTTGCACGTTATAAACTCCCAGTGCCGGAAACGTGTAGTTCAGTTGGTATCGCATTGTGATGGCTGAAATAACGAGTTTCTTAACTGCAAAATGATACCACTTGCACAACAAGTCTATCAAGCCGTCCTCCGCACACAATCACATTTTGTACCGTACATCAGCTGGCTTATTAAGAGGGTAAACACTACATTTTGTAGAACAGGGCCCGGTAACTCGAAAGCATCGCGCATTGCGACCGAGCGCAAGCGTCTCGATTCCATACCTTGCCCATTCTCGCCCCATATAATACATTGTACACCCAAACCCAATATAGAGGTGCAAACGATGTCACAGGCATGTTCCTAAAAATATGTAGTGCACAGATTACAAACTATGTTTGATTATTTTAGGGTCCCACATAAAGAAGTTTGTATTAAAGTTTCACTTTCCTGGAACCACGAATAATAAAAAATAATTCATCATCTAACCCCAAAAAGGAACATACGTTACTGTCACAAATGCATAACGTCTAGCTGTGGAAATGTTTTTATCACTTTGAAAATTCAATCATCACGGGTTTTGTTCTTTAATTTATCTCCTACAAGTATAACGTTGTAAAAAATTACGAAAAGCTTTTGTATAGAGCAGTTAATTGATTTTTAGCGACTTAAGTTTGCCTGTCACTGAATATTAAAAAAACGGGGAAAATACACCCTACCGACAGTGAAATAAGCATTTAATAAATTATTTTTCCCCTCGTGCTCCAAATATTATATCTGAAATGTCAAACTAGCATGGAATCACTATATATTTTTCTGTCAGCAAAAGAAAACATTGTTTTCTCTTGCACCAAGTACTTGTTCAAAATGAAACATTTTGTCAATTTTCCTAGGGAACATACGTTACCTAGTATTAGCTATGACGCAGGCCCCATTAGTTACGGTTTAAATGTTTATAAAAAACGTCCTTACGTCATATTTAATTTAACATGATCGAATCACTTTAAAATATATAAGAACACCTTATGAAAATAAAAATTAGGTGGCCTGGAACATACGTTACCGGAACATACGTTACCAGTGAAAATGTACTTGTGCCCGAAACTGGCTCCGAAAGAAAAATAAGCTTCCGTTTGAGATGTCAGGTGATTCTTTCTGACGTCTGCTCGAGCTAAAGATTAGATGAGGTTAGTTACAAGTGTAAATAAATCCATAAAATCCTCAGTAACGATGTAAGCGAAGTGAATGATTTTGTCGTAATAAAAAATTTAATTCAAATACAAAAATGAATGTCAAAGACGGAAATAAATGTCAAACAAGACTATGGAAGGAAAAAATAATCGCCAACGAGCGCAGTGAGCGCAGTGAGCGCAGTGCCAAATACATTGATACCGAACGGAACATCATTATTTCAGAATAATGCGAAAACAAGAGCTGAGATTAAAAGAAATATATCGATCTCGTAAAAAAATGAGGGTGACGCTTATTTGGAAGCGAAGGAAAACGGGTTCAAAATACTATGTAGGCCTACCTCCTTATAAATGTCGTGAAAGACAAAAGAGGCATGCGAAGACTAAATCGCGAAAACGTAGACTTCACCAAAGGAAAGAAGAGTTACTAGCTGCTATAGAAGTTGCCGAGGCAAGTCCACAGCAATCACCACCTGAGAGACTCGTTGTGTGTGCGAGGTGGCCACAACGTGGAAACGAATTGAGAAGAAACTGAAGGCAGTCACAATTAACAAGTAAAGAACTACAATCACAGGTTAATTCCATAAGAAAGAGGGGGAATGCTATCCAACAACGATTTAGCCATTGTAGAAGACGAAATACGGAACAACCTGAATTTCCCACATGCCCCAAAATTAAGACAGAACGCATCATACAGCAGGCTATAGACCCAAGCTAACACTGTGCAGAAGCAATTACTTTTATGTCTCTTCCATCCCAGTGTACCACACACTTTCATAGTCTTATTTATAACAAAAAGAAGGCAACAAAGAATATCGATTTGGTCAAACATGAAACAAGGCCGCTTAAATTATCTTATAACCCCACTACCCTAATTATTTTAGCAATAATAACAATGTAGCAAACTGTTGCCTTTATCCTTGGATTAAAATAATATTATATATACATATAATATTCAATAAGGCCACACTTTTTTAATTTTATGGATGACATCCTGCGCGCGCACCGATTTTCGCCCGTTCTCAAAAAAAAAAAAAAAAAAAA